TTAGTATCTCAAATAATGATATAACATTATTATGATAATATACACTATAATAGTTGAGCTATAAAATATGAATGAGGTATATAAATAAATATTCATTTTTAATAATCTGCTATAATAATTTATATTTTTAGTGTAGGTATGAGAAAGTATTATGTTTATTAAAATTAAAGGGAGGGTAACGATAATATTAAAATATTTTAGCCCCCCAATGGCCACTGACAAAAAATATTGCCCCCATGGAAAAAATGTTTTGAGCAATTTCTCATCATAAAAGTTCATAACTCATAAACTTATAACTATAACCGACTTTATTATTTAGAATGAGTAATGATGATACTATATTTTCTTCTTGCTCATCATAATAATTATAGACTTTTATAAATTGTGTCGCTTGCGAAAATAGCTTTTCCCCTATACCATTTGTCCACCTGCGTTTAATAGTAAAGAGCTCTTTATGTTAAATTCTCACATTACAATTCTATAATAAGAGATATAGTATTAACTACTATATATACAGAGCTCTAACCAAACAATATAAAAGGGTAGGTCGTAGGTATAGGTAGGTATAACATACTTTATTATTTGAGACATAGCACCTATATAGGTATAGAGAACTAATTCTAATCCTATTCAATTGGATTACCCTAACTCGTTTACAAAAGTCTTCTTTGCGGGGGTTTTCATTTACCTAAATATTATTTAGTGCTTTATGCAGAAGCCAAAACAATGCTGCAGACGTAAGTTTTATTTATTTTTGGTTTCGACGTCGAAATAGCGAGTTTCTGCAAGTCATAACTATATATGAATTGTTCGAAGTATATTCAAGTTTATCATTCCCTACTATACTTTATACTTATTATAACAATATGATGTACCATAATTATTTACTTAAATGATTATGTATTGAGTACTTTGTCAGTTTGGCAACTAAACAGAAAACTTTTGGTCTTTAGTCCTTGGTTATAATCGTATATAAACATTAACTGCTGTAAATCATCTGTACATCTATATTAATAAAAGGAAATGTTTGTATGTGTAGGTATGTGTGTGATCCACAGGTACACAAAAAATCAAAGGATTAAGACGGATGGCGCTAATGCACATCCACAGTTTTTGAGTCATTTTTATATAATTGTCGTCAATAGATTTGGTAATTTTGAGAAATTGTTGTTCAGTTCACATTATATTATTTTTATCAACTAAATTTTTTTATATTAACTGACATAATTTTTACTAATTTTTATATAATATATAAATATATTTATTGCGTAGAATGTAATCTAATTATTAACCAAAGTCAACACTTTTTTTTTCTACGAATTCTCCGTCTGTTATGTTGCATAGTTCAAGGCACACAATCATACAGCAAAGTGTGGGGTTCTCTCAAAGCATATAATTAAATTAATAATTATAATATGTAGGTAACAATTTAAAATATATACAAAATAATACTATTTGCACTTGATTCAAGTCTAACATATTCTGATGTCCACGCTCTTATATAGTAGAGTATTAGCTTTTTCTGCAGTAATTATAAATTATTTTACCTATATAATTTTTATTTATATAAAATTAGTTCATTCATTAAGAAATATCTATAACTTGGAATATAAAGGTACATTTATAATATACCATAACAGGTAAACTGTATATACTGCGTAGATATTTAATATGTGTATAGCATACTTGCATATTATTATGCTGTTTGTGGCTACTGCCCACTGGATATGTATAGTGACTGGTTGCAGCAGGTGCATATATTATATTTATGCTAGGGTTAAAGCCTCCATCGAAAATGTACGGTCATTATAATCGTTCAAATATATTATATAGTTATAGTTATGCCAAATCCTGTACGCATTACGGCGTATAATGAAACATGTGTACCCAACTTGTTTTAATAATAAAAAAAAGATTTATTACACTTACCTAATAAGTTATTATCTATACAAACAACCTGTAATGGCGGCATTATAATACATTTTGCTTTGAAATATTGTGTATGTAACTATACAAAGCCTAAGAGTTAAAATAATAAGATAACATACGAGTTATAATTTATAGTTTATAATGTTTATATTGAATACGAATTTATCGTAATGAGTATGCAGTATAAAAGAAAATATTTAGGATTTTTTAAAAATGGAACTGCATACGTCCTCTACCTAAGTATTCTTATATACACAATACACTGCTAATTTTATCCAATTTAAAAGCGTACACAAATAGTATAAAGCCCTATTTGGTTCGGTATTTCGGCCACATCATAAACTACTCGCATATAATATGTCATTTTGATATATCCATACTGTACCTACATAGGTATAGTAGGTATGGCATAAATAATATTATTTTATAATTTTGTTCTATTATATATAAATACTTACAGACATTACGTCATACAATAATAACGAGTACACACTGTAATACCGAATGCATATATAGGTATAGTTTAAAACAACAACCTACCTTCTGAACTAATAGACAATATAAATTTATTTCACGAAATAATAAAAAATTATAAATATTAGAGTGGTGTTTCATACAGGAACATTATTGAAGTGGACCTGTGCCGTGTTGATTTGATTTTAAGCACAGTATTATATAATATTAATATGTTTGAGTTATAACCAATGATGCATCCAGACGAAAAAATAAATCCGAAGATAATTGAAGGACTCAACCTATATAACTGCGTGTAAGTACCTATAGTACCTTTATACCTGACTATATACACTAAAATCAGTACCTACTTCATAATATTATAATATATTATTATATGTGTAGATGGTGTTGGCACTAGAATCCTATTATATTCATGATGGGTGAGTACACCATATAGTATATACGTTAATTGTTAATATTATTATATTATAATACAATACACTTATTATTATATGTTATGGGTATCATTATTGGGTATATGCATAGCCATGTGGATAAACGGAATCCAGCAAACAAACGCGAGCTCACTATAAGTTCAGCGACTTCCATCGAAATAATAAACTATTTTTTTTATGCTAATGAGCCTCCTTGTAAATCACATTGTCGATTTTTTTAAGAAAAAAAACCATCAACTCGTGTTTACACCGTGTCACTGAGTGTAACGTACGTATATAAACGTACATAATATGCATTAATTATTCATAAATGCGCGGAACGACACACACACGAGCACTATACACTCAGTGTATATAGTTGCAGCACTTGAACCTCACAAAAGCGTTCATGCATTATACATGCGACATCGGTTCGTCTAGATGTTGATAACATTATTATACTAAGGTCATTATTATCAACACGACTCGAACACTTTGTATAAATAGGTATAACAATAATAAATTTGTACTGCTGCCGCAGCACGGCCTGTAAATATGTCGGCATCATAATAATATGCACATATAGCGTGTAATACTACTATAGCAGTAGGAATAATGGACCCATATATACGGCTTAACTTATGATTTGTTAATATCATATATCTAAAATTCAAACGGATATGCCCATCCACTGAAAATAATGTACAGGACCTATATTTGTTGTACCGGCATATAGTAGAGCCTTTGGGAAATTATACAACGCAGCCTGGGCAATTAATACAATTCCCGCCGTACCCAAAGTTTAGATAATGAAGTACATGATGAATGACTATAGACAATGCTATAATAATTGAATATTACATAATTTGTATTTAAGTTCAATAAATTAATATATCATCATTAAAAAATTTAAACAAAAGTGAACGAGTTATCATAATTTATTTACTTTACATTCTCAACGGATCAATGATAGTAAAGTGTGTTTTTTTTGTACATTTAAGTATGCTAAAAATGAGTCGATTTTCAACTTTGGGGGTGATTTCTGGTTTCAAATTGGATCTAGTTGATACTTTTGAGAGATTTAAGTAGACAAATAAAACCAAAACCAATTTTCGAATAGAATCGATCTTGTTTTCTTTGACGAAGCTCAAACACGAGTAACCGTACGCGTAAGTACTTGACATTTTTGCCAAAAGTTTATGTTGACATTTTTCACACATGGTAAAATTTTCAAAATAAATTGGTGCATTTTGAGTGATATATATAGACGCATTTCGGCTCAATCATAAATTTTCAAAATGTAATATAATAAAGTTTCTCACAAGTTTTTCATATACCAATTGTAAAATATCAAAAATTAAGTTTGAAGTTAAAATATTGTAGACAATTTTAGTAATTTACAAATGGTTCTGTAGTAAAAAATGAATTTAATTTTTAAATTTTCACCTGAGATTTTAAAATTAAATACATGCTAATATAAGTCGAAATTATTGGAATAAAAAAAAAAAAATTGAGTTATTCCACTGAAACTTTTATGAGCGTCTGAACCTTTAATTTTTACTAAATTGGATATTCACGCGTTAAGTAACCATTTCCTCATCATACAATTTTCTTATTTTGTTCCAATTCAAAAATAAAAAACGTAAATATTTGAAATATTTACTAGATGTTTACATCATTGCAGTTAACTAATTCCTACTTAAATGGTATAGTTCTCCAAATGGAGACAGGGAGTCACTATTTAAGTTAACATCAAATAATTATTATATTCATAATACATATATGAATAGGATATGGATAATATATAGTTATAAAAGGAAATAATTTGTTTTGGAATTTTTAATTTTTGAGCTTTGACTTTAAGCTATCTTAGTGAAAAATTTTTATGTTAAATACCTATTTTAAACCTAAAATTCACATTTCTAATTTTCCAAGTATAGTATACTATAAATACGTAATACATATTGGCTAAATGCGTTACTATAGTTTTCATTACAGCTCGCTGATTTGTTATTTCTAATTTTCGTTTCGATAATAATATTAGTATATTATGGTTTAAATAATTTTCAGTTCGAATGTTTTTCTATATTTACGAAATTAATATACAATAATAGTGTAAATTATAATTTCGATATACTTGCTGGTGCAGAACATTAACTGTATACGCATACATATTATAAGATGCCGTTTCAAAATCAAATCAATCGTATTCTGAACCGCCTGCAGTAAGAGAATAATATTTAAAAATATATATTAAATAGTTGTAGTTTATAGACAACTAGACAAGTATAAATACATTTTTAAACACATCCTAAAAGTACCTATATATGTATATACCTCAGAAGCGTGATATACTCGTAGGTATAATAATAATATTACTCGAGTATAATAATATATGCATAATATTAGGCTATATTGCTCATGATCCTATATCGACTGCAGCCAATAAAATTATTTAACTGCGATATTTTACAGTTCAAAGTCGGACAATAATTCCGAAGGCGCATATTATTGCGGTCACGATACAAAAGCGTTGAACCAGCTAAAAAATATGTACAAAAAATGCAGGATATGCAGAAGTTACTTAAAATGGCCGTTTACAAAAACCGTAAAATGTCAAAGTAAACCGATTGAAATCAGACACTGAGATACATTCGTTTTTAATGACACTATATAATATAGCTATTATATGATTACAATAATATCTTTTGTTGATATGTACAGATTGTTTTTTGACCTGCCATGAGACTTGTATGAAAACGATAATGTGCCCGTTGGGAGAAAAATCTGACGACCGACCCATGAACATATTCGAGTCAGAAGTATGTCTACTGCTGCCTTATTTATTTGACTGTTGAGTTTTGATTATTTAAAACCAGGAGAACAGTAGCATAAGATTTAATTTTTCCCGAAAGGTTTATACGGGACAACCTTGGATGACGGAGGAACATCATATGTGTATGCGGCTCATACAGAAATAATAAAATATAGTCCTGCAGGTCATGTCGTCCAAAAAATTTTGCCACGACCTTTTCACTGGTGGTAAGTTGCACTTCGACCTGCGATGAGACGATTTATTCCAAGACACTTTAATAAGGCTCACCGATAAAATTTATTATATTGCTTATATTAATATCATGTCCTGAACTTTTACCCAATATATATCAATATCGTATGTACGATCTTTGCAGTTCTCGCAATAATCTATTTTTACCAATCATGTATGCGTAATAGCTAACAGCTATAGTAGAATTATCTTCAAGTGTAATTTGAAAAACAACAGCCACGATTGGTAAAAATTATATTGGCATTTCATTTGGTTCTTATTAATTTTTTTTTTTTAAATTAATATCGAAAGATTACTGGGCCTCACTGAAAAAAACTCGTGTGGAGGCCCATGGATTATCTTAGATAACAAATAATTCTATGATATTTTATGATATTTCCATGAATGTATATCTATTTCAGATCTAAGACGAAATACATTTAAATTTTAAATTTTGAAATTAACTGTTTCTAAATTATAGTAAAATACATACAATTCCAGTATAACCTTGAACAAAATTTTGAATTTAGAATATAAAATACCCTAGAAATATTAAAAATGAAAAATGCTATTAAAAACTAAATATTTCAATAAATGCAACAAAAATTAATTATAGGTATAGTTTAAGTATACCTATTTATTTAACAGACATATATAAAACAGATAAGTACCAAAACAAGCATCCACTATTATAGGAAAAACAGCAAACTGCTTTGAAATTCTAGCTCATAATTATTAGCATTTGGCTATTATATGCATATGTATAAAATTGTACCTAACCATCAAATACAATCAAAGTGCAATGTATAAAAGAGCAATGATTTTAAACAGGTACAAATCGAAATAATAAAAATAATAATGAGCATTTATATAAATTGTAAGCAGAACATATTTTGTTTCAACATAAATCGTAAATATTTGTGATTTTACTATATAATCTTAATATTTATTTATTTATTTATTTATTTATTTCAACATGTAGAACCCGATACACAAAACAGTAATATTATTATATGACAATTGACAGTCAACATAGTAATTGTAATATAGTAATATGAAAATAGAAAGAACAAAACAAACTAAAGTAATGGTTAGAATAATTCACAGTGGTAGAATTACCATTAAAAGTATACAAAGGTACTAAACAGTTTAGTATATACAGTATACATATAGGTACACGATTTAATAATAATATTACTGTATTATTGTGGCTTGACGTGGCGCGTTGGCTGCTACCAGTCGCGAAATGTGACTGGGAGTAAGTAACGACTAACGACCACAGCTACTATAGCTCCCGGATGGGTGACCACCTGGGTTCATAGTAGTTAAAAACCTTGCCACACATACACGTGTTTGCTACCTACCGTAACAACCCTAACAATCGTAAAAACAATCTACAGTACCAACCTTACCCCTACCACAGTTCATAACCCCTACAACAGCTAATGGCCTTAGTCGCCGGGCTTAAGTTCAATAAAAAAATAATAATAATAATAATAATATTATTATATTATATTATTATTGTCCGTAAGTATATTATACAAAAAACGAGCACATAATTACTCAATTTTTTATCGTTTAAACAAAATTTTAATATTGAAAGTCTAATATAATAGGTTTAATATTATGTATAACATTTTCATTAAAAACAACACTTTATTATGTTTTAAATTGAAAAACAAAAATAACGATTTTATGTGCATTCATTCCGATTCAACTTAATAGATTATATTTTATTCATATATTCTACACAGCCACCTGCCTTTAAACACATATATATTTCACTATTTCAGAATAAATGTATAGTATATATATAGATGCCAGTTAGTGATAGAAGATAGTAATGCTAATAAGTATAATAATATTTATGATCATTGACATTTATCAGGCGACACGACAGTTGTATAATAATTCGTTTAAAATCATTTTACCACATTTATATTTCCGGTTATAACTCCTATAATATTATGTAGGCTAAAAATATTTTTTTACATAATATTTTATAGGTACATGAGTATTTCAACATATTCTATATACGAATTGAAATAATGAAGTACATCGAAAAAACTCAATATAAAATATAAACAAATTCAACAAATATGTTTTGGACGCAGAACTTAAAAGCATGAAAGCTGAAAATGTCATCACTGGGTGGCTTCTTTCCTCAAATTCAATAACCTATGTTCTCTTTGTCTTCTCAACTCACTTGTATTTATTATGTTTAAGATATATAGATTGTATATTTTCTCTTAAAAATAAAAAAGAACCTAAAAGCGATGCATTAAAAAATAATAACTATCATTGCAGGTAAGAATACAATATAGTGAGTGATTTTGGAACATTCTTTTCTGTATATTAGTTTGACCAAGTATTTCATAGAAATGTAATCATATAAATTAGTTAAATAGTTAAACTCTGCGAACGTGCTAAATTCCCGATTTCTAAACGTATTTTAATACAACGCAATAAACTATAATTTCATGTACAATTTAAAAAGAAATTGGTAAATTTAATATTTTGGTCTATACTTTTTAATACTAGCTAGTATGAATTTACCTACTTTGTATAGAACCGTTATAAAACTATTCATTTATTCAACTGTATACTTGTATGTATACTACATATTATTAAAATATTTATTTTAATAAGTTTCTAGTTAAATATGTATTTATTGTCAGAAATAAACAATTAATATTGATTAGAATTTAAAGCAAAGTTAAGAAAACAGATCAATTGCAATATAAAAGCAGTATTTAGAAGTTAAAACTAAATAAGTCCTTGTACTTAGTCAATATTAGTAAGTTAAGAATAGTTTTTATTTAGCCTTTATAACCAGGATAAGATACGATTTATATAAGAAAAATACTCATATGTAAAAAAGAGGTTCTTCTGTGGTGGCTTCAATACATGGATTCATTCCACCGTAGATATCGTTAGAAAATATGTTAAAATATTAAATAATATGTTTTTTAACACATTTTCATACCTATTTTGTTTTATTTTTTTTATATGTGTATATACAACCGTAGTTATTGTCTTATTTGTCTCTATAACGATAACAATTTGTATAATACTTAGATTTATAGTTATAGGGTTTCATACCGTACAAATAAAATCATTAAGTAGCTTATCCTATAATAAATAGTCCTAAATACATCATTTATACTTTCGGCTTAGCCTTTATATAATATTCACTGTCGTCGTTTTGCTATTATTAGCATTTTTAATAACTAATAAGCAAAAACCATAATAATTAATATATATTCTATGATAAGTAATAACAATATAAAAATTACTTTTATAAATAAAATAACTAATTTCTTATGATGTTACTTTTAAGTTATAATTATGTGTGGTAACTGGTAAGCAGTAACTCATAATATAACACGTTATACTGATATAATGTTACGTTCTTACCCTGATGCCACAAAAAACCAGAAATTAATGGTAATTTTGTGACAAAAACCCAACTCATATAGTTACATTTGAAAATATAGTAACTTGCTCAAAGTCCAACACTATGCAATACTATAATACATATCACACATTTACATAGTTATAATTTATAAATAATATGTATGTATATCTATATATCGAGGTATACTCGTAGTTAATATAAAAGTATGTATATAGTGTATACCTATACATTTGTGCAAACTGTCAAAAAAGTGCAAACATGCAGGATTATTTAGCAATATATACGGTTTCCTGGTTGGCATATTAAATAAGCATATGCCATATATATTATAATATACACCGCATCCTAATAGTAACATATATTATGTGTAATTTGGCAACCAGGAAGCAGGAAGCAGAAAATTCAGCTTTACCATCCACCTTGTGTACAGGATGGGTATATATTATTTTCATACGTGGGCTAATTATACACACAATATACAAATAAATATTAAATAATATATACTCGATTAATAATCTAATAATACAATGGAAGTGATTCCATATTATTGTTATTGTTTTTTATTACCTGAATATATAGAACATTTCTCACTAGGTACGTATTGCTATTAAATTACCATTGTCATATGAAAAGTATTTAAACTATGTATACGATCATTAAAAATTTAATTTTGATCATCTAAGAAGTATATTATTGTTAGAAAATCCCATTCGTGTGTGAGCACACATGATGTTTCCATATACACCCTATCTTTAGCCGATAGACACCTAATGTAGGATATAAAAAATATATTAAAATATAATATAAGCATCCATAAAAATGTATGATCGAATATTCCGCACCCCATTGAACTTTGAAATCGATATTTTTCAACCATTGTAAAGTAATTGTGAGTCGAGAGCGTATACCTATATATAGTATTTAGTATTTACTTACTTATATTAGACGAGTACCTATATGGTGGATAGTATGGTTTGGTTGGATGGTTGGAATATAAACATATAAAACTATAAACGCTTTACACAGATCTAAATCTATATGGACATAAACCTAGACTCAAGAGTTGAAGAGTATATATAGTAATACCCAGGTATATATAAGTATATATTAAGGTTTATATAGATATATATATTATACATCAGTTGCAACAGGTACCTATCCTATATTACATATACTTAAATAACGATAATATATAATATCGACGAAAATGTTGTTCAAGGCAAACGCGTTCGTCGTTCGTGTTATATCAAAATGTATTCATAAGCATCAGGTTTGAGCAGACATACGTATACGTATATTATATTATTGTGTAATACATGGCGGCCGGTAACACGCGACGAGTACACAGTAGTTAATTATAATATGTATACTATGGAACATACAGGTAGGTACATCGTTATAGGTATATATGAAGAAACGAAATATTCGTATAAACACCTATTGTACGAGTGAATAATATTGTACCTAATTATTAATTTTGATCGTTTCGTATACGCGGTGTATACAGTGTGACGGAATTCTAGTCACGCGTGTCTACTATATAGGTACATTGTATACCATCATCGGCAGCGTAAATATGAGCGACACAATAAATAACTACAATATAAGGCACAGATATACCTGTCACCTATACTGTATGTATACCTGATTTATAAAATACACCACGTGCAGACAT